AGATCACTCCCTGAAATTATCAGTAAATGTTCAGGAGTGCAGATGTGAAAACAGCTTCTGTGTGATAGGAGAGGGATTTGAGGAAGTTCCCCTCGACTTAAAGAAAACATGATGGGAAATGTTCACTGTATTTGTGAGAGTTTATATAAAAGAAACCAATCTGTGCAGCCTGACTTCAGTTTAAGCTCTTCACTCACTTACGACTCTCAGCTACCTGTTATGCAGCTTTGACTCGCTCCAGGGGAATCAGGTGAAACATTCTGAGAGTGTAAACCTCAGGGGAAAGACACTCTGTACACTCTGCTTTGTTTGACTTTACCTTCAAGTATTTCCTCATAAAGTGCATGGACCCCTTCAGGAATGATGACAGCCAGCGCAGTCCCACACAGCAGCCCCGCTCCCAGCACGGTGATGAGCTTCAGCTTCTCCTGCAGAAAAAGAGAGACACACATGTTCAGGACAAAGTGATCTCACTGTTTTTAATCCTAACAAACACAAGATATCGAGGTGATTACATCACAGCGCTCGTGATGTAATCAAAGGTACTGGCAAAGATTAACCTTAAATGTTGACAAAACTGTTAAAGGTTAAAGGTCACCACCAGGAACAAAAAAAAATCACTGACCTAAAAGTTTTCAATTAAAAGGTAAAACAAAGACTGAAACACTAAGTGACACGTTACTCTTTAGTTGTTGTTTATTTATTAGGATCCCTTTAGCTGAACCCTAAAGCTCAGATCCTCCAGGGTCCACATTTAAAAAAAAAAAAAAAACATAAACAGGAATAGAAAAATGTACTTTAGACATAATTAAGAGCTACAGTCCACACAACCCATCACATGTAGAGGAGGGTATTAAATAAAAAGTTTACACCAATCAACCCATTTTAGGATTTTTATTGAACTTTACAATTAATGCAAACATAATACTGAGAAACACAAAACACATATCTTAGTTATTAGCATCAACCTGAGTGTCTGTGTCTCCTTCACTGTCAGTTTTTTGTCTTTTTTGAAGTGTTGTATTCTGCGTGTTATTTCCTAAAAGCCAAACAAGGACTACAACTTCATCACATAAACACAACATCAGTTTCACTTTAATAAGATGAAACAATGCCAAAGTGTAATGAACTGCTTTGTGTTGTCAGTCTTTATTTGTCTGTCTACTCTCCGTTATATTGAATAGTTTCTGCTGATAATATGTCTACACTCATGCACTTTTATGTCAATATTGTCCATTTACAACTCTGTTTTTAGACATTTACATTTAATCTTTCATATTTAAGACTAGTAATGTTTAGTTAAATCCTGGTTGTATATATTCACATTCTTAGTTTTGATATTTTTAGTGCTTATTTACTTTGTATTTAATATTATATTGTGTTTAAATTTGCTAATATTGTGTTTTTTACTCATATTGTGTGTTTGGATAACCTGCTGCTGAATCAGGTGGTAGGTGTGCTGTTCTTCTGCTGTAACGCCACAATTTCCCAGTTTGGGATCAATAAAGTCATTCTATTCTATATTGTGTTGTATATTATATCATATTGTGTTGTATATTCTATTATATGTGTTGTATATTATATTATCATATTAATATAATATATTATTGAATTATTATTATTACTTAGGTCAATATATATACTGTACATTCTATATATTTATTATTATACTAGTCTATATTATATAACATTTCATTATATTACACTATATTGTTCATATTGCACTATATTATATTATTACATTATATTATATAACTGCACTCTGCATCACTGTGGTACAACACTGCCTCTCTTCTCTGCTGTTTACATTATTTGCTGCTATTTATCATACCAAGTCACTTCAATCATCACTTGTCACTTAATCTGGTCATTCTCTGCACATACTGTTTCAATTCTCAATTCCTCCCAGTTAACTTCATCATTCACTTTTGTACTGTATATACCCCCTGTTTTTATTTTTTATTTTAATTTATCTTATCTGTTCTGTTTAATGTGTATTTTGAGCTTTCTTGTCTGTGCTTCTGTAACGCCCGAATTTCCCCTCTGGGGATCAATAAAGTATTATCCTATCCTATCCTACATTGTGTTGTATATTATATTATATTGTGTTGTATATTGTGTTGTATATTGTATATTGTGTTGTATATTGTATATTGTGTTGTATAATGTGTTGTATATTGTATATTGTGTTGTATATTGTATATTGTGTTGTATATTGTATATTATATTATATTGTGTTGTATATTGTATATTGTGTTGTATATTGTATATTGTGTTGTATATTGTGTTGTATATTGTATATTGTGTTGTATATTGTATATTGTGCTGTATATTGTGTTGTATATTGTATATTGTGTTGTATATTGTATATTGTGTTGTATATTGTGTTGTATATTGTATATTGTGTTGTATATTGTATATTGTGTTGTATATTGTATATTGTGTTGTATATTGTGTTGTATATTGTATATTGTGTTGTATATTGTGTTGTATATTGTGTTGTATATTGTATATTGTGTTGTATATTGTGTTGTATATTGTATATTGTGTTGTATATTGTATATTGTGTTGTATATTGTGTTGTATATTGTGTTGTATATTGTGTTGTATATTGTATATTGTGTTGTATATTGTGTTGTATATTGTATATTGTGTTGTATATTGTATATTGTGTTGTATATTGTATATTGTGTTGTATATGTTGTATATTGTATATTGTGTTGTATATTGTATATTGTGTTGTATACTGTGTTGTATATTGTGTATTGTGTTGTATATTGTGTTGTATATTGTATAATGTGTTGTATATTGTATTGTGTTGTATACTGTTGTATATTGTGTATTGTGTTGTATATTGTATATTGTGTTGTATATTGTGTTGTATATTGTATATTGTGTTGTATATTGTGTTGTATATTGTGTTGTATATTGTGTTGTATATTGTATATTGTGTTGTATATTGTGTTGTATATTGTATATTGTGTTGTATATTGTATATTGTGTTGTATACTGTGTTGTATATTGTGTATTGTGTTGTATATTGTGTTGTATATTGTATAATGTGTTGTATATTGTATATTGTGTTGTATACTGTGTTGTATATTGTGTATTGTGTTGTATATTGTGTTGTATATTGTGTTGTATATTGTATATTGTGTTGTATATTGTGTTGTATATTGTGTTGTATATTGTGTTGTATATTGTATATTGTGTTGTATATTGTGTTGTATATTGTGTTGTATATTGTATATTGTGTTGTATATTGTGTTGTATATTGTTGTATATTGTGTTGTATATTGTATATTGTGTTGTATATTGTGTTGTATATTGTATATTGTGTTGTATATTGTGTTGTATATTGTATAATGTGTTGTATATTGTATATTGTGTTGTATACTGTGTTGTATATTGTGTATTGTGTTGTATATTGTATATTGTGTTGTATATTGTATATTGTGTTGTATATTGTATATTGTGTTGTATATTGTGTATTGTGTTGTATATTGTATATTGTGTTGTATATTGTATATTGTGTTGTATAATGTGTTGTATATTGTGTATTGTGTTGTATATTGTATATTATATTATATTGTGTTGTATATTGTGTTGTATATTGTGTTGTATATTGTATATTATATTATATTGTGTTGTATATTGTATATTGTGTTGTATAATGTGTTGTATATTGTGTTGTATATTGTGTTGTATATTGTATATTATATTATATTGTTGTGTTGTATATTGTATATTGTGTTGTATAATGTGTTGTATATTGTATAATGTGTTGTATATTGTATATTGTGTTGTATATTGTATATTGTGTTGTATATTGTATATTGTGTGGTATATTGTATATTGTGTTGTATATTGTATATTGTGTATTGTGTTGTATATTGTGTTGTATATTGTATATTGTGTTGTATATTGTATATTGTGTATTGTGTTGTATATTGTGTTGTATAATGTGTTGTATATTATATTATATTGTGTTGTATATTGTGTTGTATATTGTATATTGTGTTGTATATTGTGTTGTATATTGTATATTGTGTATTGTGTTGTATATTGTGTTGTATAATGTGTTGTATATTATATTATATTGTGTTGTATATTGTGTTGTATATTGTATATTGTGTTGTATATTGTGTTGTATATTGTATATTGTATATTGTGTTGTATATTGTGTTGTATATGTGTTGTATATTATATTATATTGTGTTGTATATTGTGTTGTATATTGTATATTGTGTTGTATATTGTGTTGTATATTGTATATTGTGTTGTATATTGTATATTGTGTTGTATATTGTGTTGTATATTGTATATTGTGTTGTGTCGTTACCTCTGAGAAGTTGACAGCCAGGGGGATCGAACCTGCTACGTAACATCCCACCAACATGGCCACAGAGAGCAGACTGATGGAGCTGAAGTCGTCCATGACTCTCCTCTGAAGCTAACCTGCTGCTAAGCTAAACTCTTCTGTAACACGTTAGTTATTCCTCCTCGGGGTTGATAACATGTCCTGATACTTAACGACGATGTTAAATCAACGAACACCTTCTTCTTCTTCTTCTTCTTCTTCTTCTTCTCACACATCCACGTTACAGCAGCTGGCCTCGATAACGTTAGCCGAACGAAGCTAACGAGCTAGCTTCGGTTATTTCCGGCTCTCCGACTTCATGAGTGAATAATCCGGAAACGTAAAGGTCAAAGGTTGACTTTAGGAAAGTCCGACACCGCGCACACCTGATTCAGGATTCACCTGCTGACAACATTAGTGCAACTTCCAGACTTTGTTAGCAGAACGCTAACTGACTTGCTAACTGGACATCCTCTTGTTTGTGATGCCGATAGAAACTACATCCGGGTCACAGTTCAGCTCAACCTGTTTGCCACGTATCCGCGAGACAGCGAGACACGGAGGAGGAAATAAACACAAACTAATATAAAATTAATGAATATTAATATAAATTTAATGAATATCAAATTAATAAAATCAATGAGTAAAAAAAAAAGGATAAACAGACTGTTTAACAAAAATTATAATAAATATTTTTTTAGCCTTGTTTTAAAAATGTCATTAATAAGACCACAGGCAAGAATACAAGACTTTAAGATTAAAGGTCACATATTATTCTATTTTTAAACCAGGATAAATTAGTCTCAGAGCTCATGTGTGTGAAGTTTCTTGTTCTAAATCCACTCTGATCCTGTATTTGATCATGTCTATAAACCCCTCTATTTCAGCCCTGCTCAGAACAGGCTGTTTCTGTGTCTGTACCTTTAAATATGTAAATGAGCGGTGTCTGACCACGCCCCCTCTCTGGAAGGGCTTGGGTGTACTCGGTCTTTCTCTCTCCATGTCCTATTGTTTACAGTGAGAAGGCAGAAGACGGAGAGGATGGACTTTTCTCATCATTGGGGGGTTTGTAGACGGACTAGAGACACATGTTAGAGTTAGAGGAACATGAGGAAGAGGATTTAAAATATGTGACCTTTAAATGACTAATAATCAACTTAATGAACTTTAAATTGAATCATCTGTTCTTTGCTGAAATACCATGCATAAATGTTTCATGATTTCTGAAAGATCTTAAAATATGAACTAGATGTTGACTGAGACTAATGAACAACACATTAAAGACTCTCTTTATAAAAAAAGCATATTTATTAGTTCACACGACGGAGCAGAGCCGCGACATGAAGACAGGAAATCAAAGCAGGATGTGTCCAACGATTTGGAAAAACGGATGAAATTCAACATTTGCCTCAACAAAGGAGAAAAATACAACCAAAGTTTCATCATGCAGTATGTTTGTGCAAACCTGTTCTGTTCACAGTTCAGACTTTTCCCCCTCCAAACACACACGCACGCACGCACACACACACACACACGCACGCAGAAGGCAGCCGCTCCGTGCTGATGGACTGGAGGGATGTTTGGACACGTTTACAGTCTGCAGAAAAACAGGAAGGCAGCAGAACGACGAGCCGAGAGACACGAGGTCTTTATTTCACCAGCCCATCTTCTTCGCTTCTGTTTCGTAAATCAACAGTCTCCACATTTTAACGATGAAGACCTCCGCCTCTTCATCCAGAACCTACACACACACACACACACACACACACACACACACACACACACACACACACACACACACACACACACACACACACACACACACACACACACACACACACACACACACACACACACACACACACACACACACACACACACACACACACACACACACACACACACACACACACACACACACACACACACACACACACACACACACACACACACACACACAACAGCCTCATAATGATTATTATAATAAGTAACATGAGACTGGTGTTGGCCTGAAGCTCGTCAGGCTTTGAGAGAAGGTCAAGGCCAGAATACTGTCTACGCTGTCGACAACAAAGGACAATGTCTCCCTTCTACCTTCCTAATTGTAGGGACACATAAAAGGTGGGGGGGGGTGGGGGGGTGTACTTCTCTCATCGTTGGGGGGTTTGTAGATGGACTTGAGACACATGTTAGAGGAACATGGGGAAGTGGATTTTAAAATTCAAACAAATACTCTTAAAGGCTTTATATGTGATGTTTTGATCCAGCAGATGTCACCCTTGAGCACCAGCATGAAACCAAAACAACTCGCGCTGCATTGTTGTGTTAGCATGCTAATGCTAGTGATCTTTATTCTGCTGGTATCTTAACACTGCATGTAAATTTACCTGAAATGAGCGTGATCTAGAAACACAGTTAAGCAGTGAGTACAGTATGTTATTCTTCTTTTCTCTAGTCCCTCAATTAAACAACTTTTATACACGAGGGGAGGAGTCAGCCGGCCGTCCTGGCGATGTAAACAAAGTGAAGACAGGACTCTGAAAACTCTGAAAACATCACAGACAGTGGGACTCGGGTGTTACACCCATTGTAGACAGTCATGACTCACAGAGTTATTTTCAGAGGAGATACTTGATTTCTACATTTAAGTATGAAAAATCACAGAGAAAGACTTTAAGCTACATCTTCTCTGCATCTGACTTCACCATCTCTCCCTGTTAAAGATCGATTCAAACAGACTTTGTGATGCAGCATCAACTTACCATCGCCACGTCATCGAGAATACCCTGAGGAGTGCTGTGTGCCATCACCTGGGGGGAGGAGGGGGGACAACATTTTAAACTTCAAGAAAAGAAAATCACTGCAGACAGATTTATTAAGATTATTTTATATTTCATTAAAAAATGTGTCAAACTTGAAATGAACGCAGCTGATTGGACAGAAAAGATCACAAACCTTCGAGCAGACAAAATCCACCAGCGTAGCCTCCTCCTCGCCGATGTACTCGATAATCTTTTTATTGATCCACGGTCTGATGCGGCGATCCATCAGAGTCTGAAGACGGAATGACGACAGATTAATCACTGAATCCTCCGGCCACACGTTAGCTTTCAGACGTTTAAAGCAACATAACATGTTTACATACCGAGTCCACCATGGTCCAGTCCAGAGGGTAGGAGAAGAGCTCGGGCCGCGCTGTTGGGATTTTCTCGATGAGACTCTTTATGTGTTTTCGTTTCTCCTCCGTGTTGACGTTGCCTTTCCCCGCTGGAAGCTCCGCCCCGTCGAGTCCCAGACTCTTGTCGTCATCGCCGTAATCCAGAGGAACCAGCTTCCTTTTGCGCGGCTGCTCGTCGGCCTCCTCGTCATCGAACTTGTTGAACACGCTTTCCACGGTCGCCAGCTTCTTCCGCTTCCCCACGTTGAGCTGGCTGGGACTGTTGGTGGCGCCTGGAGAACAGAAGAAATAAATGATGAAAATATTCGTTGACGTAGGTCTTCTTAAATGAGTCAACTATGACGATGACGAGACGAAACTCGCTATTTGACGGTGAGGATTATCACCTGATGAAGAAGTGTTAAACCCCCTCAGCTGTTCTAAAATCATTGTAAACCATAGCAGACTTCATCGAAGGTGTGTGTGTGTGGTGAGTGAAACAATGTGCAGCCTGGAGCCTGGAGCCTGGAGGAGCCTGGAGCCTGCAGGTCTGTGAAGC